GTCGAAGGAGGAGAAGAGTCCCCAGGCCTTTGCTCTTTCTCTTTGTCCTGCACAGTAGGCAACAGCCCCCTCCCCCGGGACACACACTCTCCACACCTCCCGCGCACGCTCCTCCCTACAGGATCCTCCTGGAGCTGGCTCGCCCCTTCCCCTGGTCCTGAAGCTGAGCTGTGATGAGCGAGAACTCTGTATTTTCTGCCTGCTTAACTCAGGAAGGGCTTTGGTGGGGGAATGCTCGGGCCAGCTGGTTTTTCTGCAGGAAGTATTAGTCTGACTTGCAAGCTTTCTAGAAGCATCTCGAGCTTTTCTAGTGTATTTTCTTATTTTGGAGGGGAGTGTTTCCTGGAGCATGCTGGCCTGCCAGCGAAGTCCCCGATTCCCCAAGGGTGTTGAGGAGCACAGAACTTTACTCTTTTGTTTAAGAAGCTTGTCTTAGCACTATGGTGAGGACTGTGGAGCTACTCAGGGAAGCCCGTGGGTTTCCTCAGTCCAGAACCCTCAGGGAGGGAAGGAAGTGTGCCCCCCGTGTGGCAGGGTAGGGAGGAAACTTAGGTATCTTGACTCCGAGACCGGTATTCTTTCCTCTGCCTCGTGCTGCAACCGCATCATATTTCCTTTTCTTGTCATTTGTGTGTAATTGATCACTCCTACCAATTGATAAGTCAACTCGCAATGCTCTGAAGACTTCTTCGCTGTTAATATAAATCACAAGAGGAAGATACACTACGTATAAACCAATTTCATTTCCTTGCAAGTCTTCTTAGTCATTAGGCCATTTTGGGGATTTCTTTGAAATTGTCTTTTTTTGTTTGTTTTTGTTTTTCAATGCTTTGGCTGAATACCAGCACTTACCTCATAACCTCCCAGGTGAACGTGATCGTGGCCAGCCCCAGGAGCAGCGTGATGTTTGTGTTCTCACTCAGAGTTGGTCAGATGCGCATCCCAGACGTGGAGACACAGAATGTGCTCAGAGGAGAACGCAGGGGGCTGGTGAGTGGAGGCCCCACCCTCGTCTCTCTGAGGCCCGGCTGGGGTGCTGACAGCGCGTTCCTAGCATGTTAGGGTGCAAGGGGCAGTCACTTTGCTGTCCTCTGATGGCCTCAGGACAACGGGGAGAATGCAGAATGAGACCTCCTGGGCCTTCAAGGACCTGTGGGGAGAACCCCAGGGAGGCAGCCTTTATTGCATTCCTGAGGAAGAACAGTCCTGACTAAAAGCCGAATGGTTTAAATACTCCTAGTGACAGGGTGCTCACTCCCCAAGGCAAATTCTTCAGTTTTTGGGAAAGTTATAAAGGGACCTCAATATTCAGTCGTTGATAACTGAGCCAATTAAGATAGAAGACTTCCTGCTTCTCAAGGACAGGAACGAACTTTCCCTGGGGCCATACCCACAGCCAGGTGCAGGGTGAGCATCTGTGAAATCTTTGCTGCCTGAAAGGAGGAATGATCTGGGCAGGAAGCGGGGGGGCGGTATTGGTCTCTCACTCACCTGTCCTCAGAGACAACTTTCAGATATTTACTGTAGATCAGGATAAAAAGAGGAGGAGGAGATTTTATCCCCGAGTATTCAGACTTTACTAGCAAAATCTCTGCCCTTTTTCTTCTTTAACTGCGAAGGAATGAGCCCCTTTCAGGGCTCCTGGCTTTACCTGTGGGCCACCTGGAGATGGCACGGGGAGGGGCTGACCTGCCGCTCTGGGACCTACCGGCACGCACAGGCCTATCTCCGGAGCAAGCAGACCCATTTCCAAGCCAGACACTCGCTTAGGGAAAAGAAAGAAATCGATTCAGATGTACCTCTTGGATCATCTTGGCCTCATCATTGGAGAAGTGAAGATATTTGCGCTTGCTGTGCATTACACTTCCCTGCATATGGAATATGAAGTCTGTATGTGCTTCCCTATACATAGATTGATTGGACCGTCAAGTCATACGGGAGGGTTGTAGGATTGTCACAGTGCTGGATACAGACTTACCCTGGATTCCAGTGCTGTTCTGTCCCTTCCTTGCACTGGGACCCTGAGCAAGTTACATCAACTCTAAAGCTCCGTTTCCTTCTCTGCAAGATGGGGAAAATTCTATCCTTTGCATCATTATGGTAAACAAGTAGTTTAAACTCTATTATTGTCACCCCCCGGGCAGCGTCCCAACTTGCGTGGCGGGTGAGAATGGGCAGTGGTTTGTGTCACACTGGTTCGCTGCCGCATTATCTTTGCCTGGTGTTGCTGGAAAACTCTGGATGTTTAGAAGCCTCTCAGATGTGCTCCTTTAACCAAAGCAGGTGGCGGGCTGGGACCCGACAGTGAAATTGGTCGGTGTCTGTTGGCCCTTGAGACCAGCTTGTTGTGTATCCAGGTGTGTCCCTGCTGCTGATAACAGGAACATGAAGTGGGAGGCCTCACCCCAGGCTGATGTGGGGTTGGTTTTCCGGTCGAGGAGCTCCCCGGATGCACCATAAACCTGGATTCCGCAGGTGTTCCCTAAGCACCTGCCGGGAGGGTAGCGGGGGCAGAATGCCTGTGTGAGCAGGCACTGGTGAGAGGCAGGCTGGTCCCAGGAAATGATGAATCATTCTGAGGATGAAAGCGCCAGAAAAGTCTCGCAACTTAAAGGAGGCCGTTTTGACTTTTCAGTCCTTGAGGTTTTGGTTTACCTCCCAGAGGACCCTGAGGTGGAGTACTAAACAGGGTGTGAGTACTTGTGCAAATACCACATTGAGAGCCAGCGACCAAGTCCGATGGGTCTAGTCACTTACTCAGGGAGGTAGGGACGCTGGTAAGGTTTGCCCCCGGCTTTCCAAGGGCAGAGACCTTTTCGAGGGGATCATTTTGTGTCACGCTCACGATGACAGCCGGTTAGGTCCCGTCAGAGACATGGTGTTCATACCTTGCTCCCATGCACAGAGCTTGCAAATTTTGGAGGAGGACGATCACATCCTGGCCATCTGACCCCAGGTTTTGTACGATTTCTGTTTTTTAGCCTCTCATCCTTTGTGTTTCACTCACGGCCTGCTTTTTTGGCAAGAAAAGCCTTACGAGCCTGTTACTTAAACCGTGTCTGCAGCGAATTTCGTTTGGGGCATTGTCTTCATGAGCTTTACGTTCCTCGGAGAGAATGATTGCCATTCTTAATTTCTTCTAGTTTTTAAATTGTAGCACTTGCCCCCTCGTTCTCGGAGTTGCTGCGCTGCTTCTGGGGTGGTGGGTCTGCACCTTGTGGTCTGCACATCTGGACTGTTTTTGTGATGGGACAAAAACCCCCAAACAAACCCCTTCCCCCTCGCAACCCTTGGTTTCTTGCTTGGGATGAAGGCTTGGTTTCATGATGTTGCTAAGGCCAGGTCACAGGATCGTGAACTTACAGCACCACTGAGTTCTTGAAGTCCCTCCACAACCTTTTTGCCAGAGGGTTGTTTAGACTCTTTGATGAGACCACCATTGATGGTGAGCTCACTCCCTCTGAGTCAGCTCTCCGTAGAAGCTTGGTCTCCTAGACTGTGCTTTCCCTGCCGGCTCTGGAAGGTCCTCTCTGTAATTCTGACTCTAATTACAATCTGTGATCATCTCTACAGCACTGGATATCCTGTCCACATGGGCTGAACATTATTTGACATTTGGATCTAAACGATTGCCATCTGTTTTGCTAAAGCCACACGGCTGACTTTCTTTGACTGGGCGTCACCCATTTATACCAGTTTCATGCACCGAGATGGGGGGAGGCAGCACTTTGCAGAGAACAGGGGGGTCTCGGGGTTCAGCCTGGGCTCCTGCCCTCAACTCTGCCACTGGTCGCGCCACTCTGAACGTCACGCAAACCTGGCACCCTGGGCTCCTCATCAGAGAGGGGGCAGTAATGTTGGTTTCGAGTGCTGCACAGGGTTGCTTAGATTTTTAGCACATGAGCTCAGAGCTCACTCACGTGAAGGTTTTCTGTGCCTTGTGAAGTGCTGTACAAATGTAGCGTGGAGGTTTGCGTGGCCCCTTTCCTGGGATTCACTTAGGGATACGTCAAGGGTTTGGAGCATGAATGCGGGCGCTGGTCTGATGACTTCAGAGTATTCCTCTCCAGAGTTGGTGGAGGACACCCGCTGTGGTGCCCCAAGCCCACTGGAGTCTTTCCCATCACCATCATTTTGTCCTCCTCGCCTCCAGCCATTACCCTGGGGTTCCTGGCCATGGTGTCAGGGACGAGGCCTGCTAAGCCAGGCCGCACCTGCAGCTCCACCGAGAGCCTCATGAAAATAAGGTTCGGCCTTGGGGCTGTGACGAGGGACAAAAAGTTCACCTTGTATACGCAGGAGGTTTGTGTCCTCAGAGAGCCTGGAATTCTGTTTCATTTTGGATGTCCTCTCGAAGAGGAATCAGAGGTTAGCCTCTGCTCACACTCGAGCGTCATTAGGTGGTTTTTCCTAGCTCGCTCTCGGTTCCTCATTTCTCTTTACGTGATGGCTTGCCAAGCCATTGCGCGTTAAAACGTTAGAGGATTGTGCGCACCTGTGTGGCCCCGACAGCCCTGAGGACCAGTGAAGCTGCCTCCACAACACACACTCGGTCCTCCCACCGCCCACTGCTCCACCCTGGCTCCCGCAGTGGTCCCCAGAGGTCCCGTCTCTGAGCTCCAGTCCCTGACTCCGCGGCATACATTTGGACCGCATGACGGAGGCAGCTTTGACCCTGCATCCTCTGTTCCCACAGTACCAGTGGAGAGGTGTTCCAAGCCAATAAAGCACTTTCACTTTTGGAAGACCGTCACCATATAGATTTAATTCAAATAAATCATCCCAGAGGTACCTAGTTTCATAGACGGAAAAACAAAATAAATAAAATTCGGCTCCTGGCAGATATTGAAGAATGTAGTGTCCAGTACAGCCTGAGGAGTCAAGAAATGTGGCCGTGTATGACTTCAGACATTTCCTGGGCCCCTGGGATGGGCCAGGCACATGGTGGGGGGCTGGGTGCCCAGAGATGAGCCAGCCTCCTCCCGGTCCTCGGTGGAACAGACCAGCTTGGCCAATGGGGTCTGTCCAGCCACCTGACAAAATGGCGGCTCACATTCATCCACTGCCCTGGATGGGAAGTCAGGTCGTTCACTGAGCTGGAGGGCTGAGGAGGAGGTTCAGTTCTCAAAACCATGAGTTGTTTTGGGTGTGTTTATGGACGAGGTATCCAGGACAGCCAGGCGAGGACCTGGAGGAGGCAGTGTGAAGTGCAGTTTAAGGAGGGATTGTGGAACTCCTGCGGGACACTCTGTTCTTAAAGAGAAGGGCATAGAAAGGGAGGGACAGGTGAGATGTAAGATGGTGCTTCTGAGGGTTGTATTCACTGAGGCAGCTTTGCATTCATTTTGACCTTGGTTAAGGCGGGAGTCCTGACCTTCAGCCTTCTCCGAGAAGGGGAGAAGAGAAGCACATGTTTAGAGGTTGCCTACCCAATTTCATTTCCCAGGAGCAAACCCACAAAATTAAGGTGGAGAGACCGTTATTTCCAAGATAACGTGCCTTTGATAGCGTTCTAGTTGAAAGACTTGGAAAGGGAATTAAAATCACTTTTATCCACTTGCATATCAGATGAGTAGAACAAGCAATTTCAGAATTGACAGGTAAGAGCCTTAGCCTAAAGTAATTCGAGTCCTCATATTTAATAGTTGATGCAATTCACGTTGAACACACTGTATTATTAATGTTGTAAGCAGAATCCCAGGTGGACATATACTTTTGGATTTTTATGTTCCTCAATGTTTTATCTGTCTATCTCTAATGTAAGTACTGTAGTAGTTTCTAACTCAGGGAAGACTATCTGAAAAGATGGTACTCCCATGAGATGTAATAGCCTCAGAAAATTAGCCTAAGAAACCTTCTGGAAGGCTAGAAGATACCACGTTAAAAAACGCCACATATAATTATATATTAATTATATATATTACTATATATATTTATTTTGATATATT